TACTAATATTTTTCGGTATTTAGATGATTGTTGTCGTAATATATATAAAAAATTTCTCATTAATTAAATTTTATTATTCCTTCATCTAAATAAATATTTTATTAACGTGCAACGGACGTTTATAGATACTAGTATATATATATATATATATATATATATATATATATATATATATATATATATATATGACCTTTGAAAATTGTGTCCTTTTGTAAGAACCTTCGCAAGAAACTGAAGAAAATTTTAGTCCAGTGTGTAAGATGTTACCTAAGGAGTTTCCTTTTTCTCTTTTTTTTTAGGACGTGAATCTAAACATTACACGTGTAACTTCTAAACCAATTTATTACTACTTCTTTTCTCTTTTTCTTTTCCAAATTATAAGAATTTGTTCGCTTATTCCGAATATTTAAATTGGAGATGATACTTATAACACCCCTAAAGATTATGACATTTTTTTAATGCTGAAGACTGTTTTTGTGAAGTTATTAAAAGGAAAATATTGATTATAAGGAGAACGATAGTTCTTACAAATGGAAGGCAAAGATTGGATCAAAGAGAGAGGTTTTGGGTCCATACATATTTTTAATTTTGCAAGGGGAGACGGAGTAGTTATGCATGTGACATTGTGACGTTGCAAGTTGGACTTTTAAAGCTATATATGAGGTAAAGAAAATTATGAGGTTATTGAGAGAGATGTGCAATAATTAAATTGGTACCAACCAAGGATGTGGTATTATAATAATTAATATACTTTCATTCTTACAAAAAGTTTTGGGTTTGAGTCTTGAGTATAAAATTATTTTTGTTAGAAAGTGGTTTATATATTCCCAATATATGGCTTTCTGGTGCAAATCTAAATTTAGTTGAACCTCAATGCAAATATCGGATACCAATTGAAAAAACAATTAAATTGATAATGCAGGGTAAGACTACGATGTACAATAGAATCTTGTAGTCCGACTATTCTTCGTGTCTCGTTCATAACGGGAGCTTAGTACATTGAACTGATATTTTTTTTTTTGAAATAGGTGTAAGTAGTACGAACTTGTATCCAATTATTTTTTCAAGAGTGAGATGAGAAGAGGAAAATATTATGTGTATGTACTTGGGAGGAAAAAAATATCTTATGGAAGCTTCTAATGTCTCCACCTAACACATGTCATAATTAAAAAAGAAAGGAAAAAAGAGGATGGTAGATAGGTTTAGAAAGTGATTTCTTTTTGTTGTGCGAAGAGACATTTTAATTTTATATTTTTGGCTTTCTTTTGGGATTCCTTCTCCTTTTCTAGAGAAATATGAGAAGATGAATATAAATATGATATATATTGCTTGAAGGATTTGTCACACATGCCTTAGATTGCACTTTGAGGGGATCATGTCCCCATTTTCTTGCTTTGAAACATTTCGAAGAATTATTAATAAGCATATGTATCACGGTAACTAATTAGCTAGTCGATAATCATATTAAATGTTGCGCGCATATTATATTAGAGTCAGACTCATCTCTTTAGTTTATTTAATATTGTATATTCATGTTATGTTGTCTGTGCTTCTACGGGGCTTGAGAATATGGACTTAGCCTTTTTACTTGAGTTTTACACAATTTTCATTAACTAACTTTTAATGTTGAGTTAGGCTCGAAGTTAATAATTTTTATTAATTAACATACTATAATTCCTCGTCCAAACAACCAACGAATATGTTTCGTGGCCATGGAAGTCTCAAGTGAAAAACATTGATGTTTCTATATTAACCTCGTGCTGAAAATCCTGAACTAAGCTATTACACAACTATTTAGATAACATGCTTTTTTGGCCAAATTTTGACTTAGATATTAAACACCGAAAAAGAAAATTATACCTTCATAACATTTCAGGTTAATTAAGAAGAAGATGAGCCAAAATTGGTCCATGTACTTCCATTTGCGTCTAATTGACAGAAAGTAACGATGATTTTTCCGTTCAAATAAGCGAAGGCAAACGCACTATGTGATTTCATTCTATATGTTCAATCTTTGATAGAAAGAATTATTTTGTGAAATTAGTTGAAGCACGGATAAATTAATTCGGACAACACGATTATTAAAAAAAACGATGAAAAACTTAAGTATGAAAAGCGGCCGCTTGATATTTGATTCACTCCAAATTAGTGAAAAAGATAGATTGTGATATTAAATGCATCGTTAGCCAATTTTGATACTGTCATGCTAAATTTGAATCCTTATCTTTAGAACACTCATCATAATCGCAACCATGCTTATCTACCTTGTATTTTCATATCCTAATTAACTTCTTACCCTTCTAATTTTGAAGATTTCTCTAAAAAGTATATTTTCATGTCATAATTCTTTTGAAAAATTCTTGATTAGTTCTTTTCCTAGATGACTTGGACATTTACGAGTTTAATTTTACTCTACCGTGAATTTTCAGAGTACCCTTTCCATTCAAATAATTGCTCTTTTCTCTTTTGGTCCGTCCCAGAAATTTTAAGATATATTTAATATTAAAACCCCTCAAACAAGTCAAACTAATTTAATTTCTTTGTAAGATTTTAAAATATTATTTCAACACTTTTCTAGAACCTCAATTAAAAATTCAAACGTTTTACTCTGAACAATTGTACTTGTAAAGACATACTACCTTGTTTTTAGGAGAAAGGGAGTAAATCAACAAACTTCTTTTCCTTTTTCCTGCATGCATTGGGTATTCAAAATTTACTGGTTCTTAATTCACATTCGTGCATGTATGGCCCACTAAAAAGGATTAAAAAAATTCATTTTCAAAATTCGAATTCAATTATTTTTAATTAAGGATGAAAGTATAGAATGAACTTATACAATGATGAAATCGATACGATCATCAAATTATAAGTTTATAACCCTAGCTAGCCCGTTTTCATTTTGCGCGGAACAGATCTACTAATCGATCCCACCATATATGTGTTTGACCAAAAAGTATTAAGCCTTTTGATTAAACCAATTAATGATGAGAAGAGGGGTGAATCTTAGTTAAGAATAATAAAATCTAGACCAAAAATTAGATGAAGTAGACAAGATGAAAGACGTTAGCTAATATGTTTGAACTGATTAAATGCTCATAAATGCAAAAACATAAATGTATAATGAATATAAATAAATGCGACTAGCATAATAAAAGGAAGTTACTACCTAATTATTGTAAAATTCGGAAAGCTCTTTTCCCTAACAACAGCGTGGAAAGAAGGGAAATAAGAGGAGGTTCAGGAATCTTTAGATCTTGTGAATATAGAACCAAAAATGTGTGCTCGAGTAATGCAATCAATGAATGAGACAACTTTCATATATTCTTTCAGGTCAACCTTTTACAAAGTGTTGTTTCTCGTAAAAAGATCCCCCTTTGTTCTCTATCTCTTCCTATTTATAAGGGACATTTCCCAAAACCCCTAAAAAGTACAAAGCAAGGAATATCCAAAGGAATATTCCTTATGTCCATATTTGAACCTATGCTACCGTTGTTTCCTCATTTCAGCTGCCCGTCTTTGGCATCGACCGTCTTGAGAGCAACCTTCAGTTGTTATACCATGGTCGACCCCGTCCTTTATCTTGCTTATCCGTTACTGCCGAATCGCCAAATTTAGATCTATACAACATGTTGGTGTTAATTAACAAATTTCATTTTGTATATGTAATAAGTAGTGAATACTGCAAGGAGAAAGTGAAATGATATAAGGAGAAAGATGGAAGTAGAAATTTAAAAATGGTTGGTTAGGTCATGGCTAGGACAATAATTGTTAGGTTGGTGGAAGAATGGTACTACGGATATATAATTGTTTCTTAGTTTCTTCACGCAATTTATATTAGTTTTTGAGACACTCTTTTTTTCTTATTATTATGAATGGAAGAGATAGGTTACCCACTTTTTTCCACTCTTCTTTTCTTCACATCCTCTCACTGCTTATCCATTGCTCCTACCCTTTATCCACATTCTTTTTTATTTATTATTTCTTGTTTGATATTCGGAATAGAGCCTAATTAAATTTAAATTTGTGCCGTTTCATATTGGGATAAAGCGTTTTCTAACAGAAATGACTTTATACCTAAGGCTCAAAATCAAGTCCTTTAATAAAATGAAGTAATACTTGTCACTCTTGTTGTTGGTACGCTTTACCCCACATTCATACAGATCCCTAATACTCCTAATCCTGCTTCTGACAATAATAGCCTGTTTGGCCAAACTTGAAAAATCAGTTTATCTTGAGAAGTGTTTTTTTTTTCAAAAGTACTTTTGGTGAAAAGTATTTAGTGTTTGGCTAATTAATTTGAAAATCACTTCTAAGCAGCAATTTATGTTTGGTCAAGCTTTTAAAAAGTGCTTCTAAGTATATTTTTCTCAAAAGTGTTTCTCAAAAAAGTACTTCTGGGAAGAAGCTACTTTTTTCTGCTTATCCAAAAAATTGCTTCTGCTTCTATTCAAAAGTATTTTTTTTTTCTTCTAAAAGCTTGGCCAAACACTTCAACTTTGAAAAAAAAAGTACTTTTAAAATAAAAAAGAATATTTCTCAACTTAGAGAAATTTGGCCAAACAGGCTATAAATCTTTTTTTGTTCTCTCTCTGAAAAAAGACAAAAGCTTACTAAAGTCTATATTTAGAAAAAGAAAAAGCAATGAACAGAGAATTTTGTAAGCGAATCTTTCAAAATACTCCATGTCAAATGAATAAACAAACGTACATAATTTTTAAACCAAGTTAATCATCGACATGGGGAACCATATACAAGGACAAAGAAAACCTAATATAAAAGAATTAGGCAAATCAAGAAAGAAATCAGTCTCTTGAAGATGAAAAAAAAACGCAACGTTCATATATCTTTTATATCTTAATGTATAAAAATTTATTTTTTAAATCATTAATCTCACTTTTTATGAATAATTTTATAGTATCTACTTAAAAATAGTTAAACTAAAAAAGAACATGTCATAGTAACCAAAAAGTGTTGGCTAAAAGAGTAAAGAAGTACAACACTAATCAGCAAATTCCTCCAAAATGATACTACTAGTATAAATGTCGTAAGGTACACTGCTATACTGCTTTCAATTTAATATAATAATACTTTCTATTTTACAAATAAGAGAAAATTCGAAAGAACTTAAACTAATAGCTCTATTTTTCTCAATTCTCTTTTCCTTTTTTACCCAAATGCACAAGGGGCCAAAAAGTAATTCACTTAGTCTCCAAAGTTCTATAGTCCAAAACACCATTAGTCTTTAACCCTAAAAAATCATAACTTGCAATATTACCCATATTATTTTTACTGCAATTGCAATCTTTACTATTTTGTATGCCCAAACTGCATGCAAAACACCTTGGACTTTGTTTCAAATCTTGGTCATTTTGGTAATTTTGCTGATAAGGAGGGCTAATTCTGAGCTCAAGATTTAAGTCAGGACACTGTAATTCTTGAAATTGGCTACTGTTGCTGCTAATTTCATCTTCTTGGCTAAGTCCAGATAATTCACCTTTAACATTAATCATCTTCTGATCTTCTTCATCTTTAATATTTCGAGCAGTAAAAGAAATTGTTGTGACTTTTGGAGTTGTATTAGGCTCGTTAACAGGCCTGTGTGTCGTAGGATCAATACCACGACTCAAAAGTTTCCTTCTTATGTGTGTATTCCAGTAATTTTTAATTTCGTTATCTGTTCTTCCTGGTAATCTTCCGGCTATAAGTGACCACCTGAAAATTAAGAAGATAGTAATTAATAAATGCCAAGTTACTTCACATTTTAATTAATTGAACTTTAGTGATGAAAGTTGAACAAAATGACAAAAAACAGTTCCTCGTGTTTAGGGGTTGGTCTAAAATAATCCTTAAATATTCATTTGAGCACTTTTAGTCCTTTTCTTTATATTAAAACACAACCCGGCAATTATTTTTGCCGGAATTAATTCGCGAGAAATGCGACTAAAGTTTCAATTGAAAAATCATCTAGTCAAATTTCTCCTGATTTATTTCTTCCAATAATATAATCTATTTTTTCGGAGCACTTCGGATTTTTCTTATGACACGAATAAGGTAAAATGAATCAGGATAAGTCCATTTGGATAGTTTCTTCAGTTTAAACAGTTCACTTGCTTCTCACGAGGCAATTCCATGAATTTAATTATCTTCTTGTGTTTTAAATCCAACGAAAATAAAAGAATGCTCGAACTTCAAGCACTATTTTAAACAGACCCTCAATTATAAGAGACTATTTATTGTCATTATTTTCTCGTGAAAGTTGAAATATTTAAGTAAAAATAAAGACTAAAGTGAAATAATAACAAAGACGTACTTGTTACCAAGAAGGCTATGGAGTTTGATAATGAGTTCATCTTCTTCTTCAGTAAAATTACCACGTTTAAGATCAGGTCTCAAGTAATTAATCCATCTAAGACGACAACTTTTACCACACCGTAAAAGTCCAGCAGCTTTAGGAAGAGACCTCCAACAACCTTCACCATGAGTTCTAATATAAGCAATTAGTCTTTCATCTTCTTCTTTAGTCCATGCTCCTTTATTTGTATGTGCTTTTTCACAACATGGTGATCTTCCCATGACGGGTTTTCCTCTTTCCTTGGCTCTGCTCGCTCGTTTACGTTATTAAACCAAGAAATTAAAATTCTTTAATTTCTCCTTCTTTTTTTTGAAGTAGTATGTAGTAGTAGTAAGAGGGTGGAAATTATAATGGAAGTTTTTTTTTTTGGCTTTGGTGGTGGTGCTATTGAGAATCAAAGCCGGCTTTTTGCAGGAATTATATAGTGGTGGGATTTTATAAGCTTTTGACTCCATAAAAAAAAATTATAAAAAAAAAAAAAGAGGGACCCACTGACGTGGGGGGTGG